AAAAAAAAAAAAGAAAAAAGTAACTATTTCATCTAAATAATAATGGAATGTGGCATTCATTTAGCAAAACTAATCTAGACAAGCTAATATGAATGATTCCAAAGTTCTCATCCATCAGTTAAATGTAAACAAAAAAGTTGTTAAGGAAGTACCTTGACATCACCTGTTCCAGGAAAGAAAAAGTCCCCGTACTTGTGAAAACTAACAGTCATCACCCTGTCATGTTAAATAACCATTCTGATTAAAATACCAATATAAAGTTAAATTCTTTAGGAATGGCTCTCTAGTATCATTCACTAAAGTAATGACGACTTCCTTGAAAAAAATTAAACTTAGTTTACACAAAGCTGCCAGAAACTATCAAACTGCTATCAAGAAAACCCCCGTAATAGAAGTGCTTCCAAACATCATAGTTCAAATACTATTGTACAGTGGTTGGCCAAATGATGTCTCCCTTAGTAGAATAAAAGCATAAGTTAAATCTAAGTCGCTGGAAATCAAACAAATCTGAATAATAAACTAATCAACTATCAAATTAGTTGCCAAGTTTTCCAAAGAAGCAGAAATCACTAATTACATCTCCAGTATACAATCTTTTCCATAGCCATACATAATTTGAACATTTTTTTTTTTTTATTCAAAAGAAATGGGAGAAATAAATAAACTAATCAACTATCAAATAAGTTGCCAACTTCACACTAAATTATTGGCTTTTGCATCACACATATCTCACTTCCTTAATAACAAGCATGAAATCAATAAGAAAAAATACTTAAAAACGTTTTGAATATCCATTAGTGTTTGTGTGCCAGTGAACACCAGAGACTTGCATGCAAACAAGTGGTAATAACATATCACAAACAAATTTACTAACTTCTCACGGCTAGATACAAAAAGTAGGTAGTGAGCGCACAGTAAATAGTATATTAGCTTTTCTACTCAAAATGGACAAGCAACACTAATGCTTTCATTCATATTCAAACAGAAAAATTTAGACAAGGACAGTTATATCCATGCTATAAATGGCATCCCACTGTTGCGGAATGAAATTAACATGTGGACTATTTACCCCATATCCTTATTAATGCAAGATAAGAAGTTTGCATATAACCTTCCAGCCTCTTCACTAGTTATCTGAATATACTGCTATAATACCTATCTGTGAAATAAAAGGCCTCCTCTACCCCATCACCATGATGCACATCAATATCAATATAAAGCACACGCGCATGATACTTCAAAAGCTCCAGAATCCCCAAAACTAGGTCATTAATGTAACAGAATCCAGATGCCTCACACTTCTTCGCATGATGCAATCCACCAGCCCAATTTATCGCAATATCGCACAGTTTATTGTTCAATCTTCGTGCAGCATCTTCCATGAGAAAGAAAAGGAAGAAAAAAAATGTATCAATCAAGATTTTCTACCAAAGATCAGATGAGGAAGTCACGTAAGTGTGGCATTATTTACCTATTGTACCACCAGCATAAATTTGACAAAACTCGAACAGGTTCTCAAAGACTGGACAATCACCTCCAAGGCTATCTGCATGAAATAATAATCATTTAAAGCAATGTGATCTAGCAGTCAAGAGGTCCAGCAATCTTATTATTCTAGTGAAGTCTCGGATTAAGCAACTTGTTCACAAACCACCGAGTACTATAGCACGCCAATCATCCCTAACGAGATAAAATCGAGAGTTGACAGCAGCTAGCAAACCAAGTTTAATGTGTTACAAACTTAACCAACTAGGAGACAAAAACTTTATGTAGATAATTTTAGACAACAAAACTATAAATCTTCCAAGTTCTAAGTATCTAAAAAACTAATCTACATAACCGCAAATACAATCAAAACTTATGGCCCTGATGGTCTCAACTTACAATCAACTTCAAAAACAGAAAAGATAGAGAGAGAGAGAGAGAGAGAGAGAGAGAGAGAGAGAGAGAGAGAGAGAGAGAGAGAGAAGGAACATTTCCATCTCACATAACTAAATTTTCACGAACTCAGTACCAAATAGGGAACTAATTACATTTGGCCATATCAGTTGCGAATAATTGCTGCGTGCTGGGTGTGATTCGCTGCAGAAACTCCACATAGTCCGGAGAATGAAACTGAGCTAGCTCCACGGGATATGCTCGGTGAGGTCTCTGATTATCAATAAATAATTAGCATAACGAACACAAAAATCCAAAATTTTAATTGAGAATACAAAGATGATAAAAGTAAGGTACAAACATAAATTTCCATCTTATCATGGAGATTATACGAGAGGACCAAGTGGTGCGTCATACACAACCGGTGGGGTTTCATTGGGTGGTTTGCACCGAAGTACACATTTCCCACATCCCCTGCAGTTCGTTTTCCACGGGTCAGCAGAGTTTACCGTCGTTTTCACAAAACTAATCTCAAAATAGTCTACGATTTTAAGGACTGAGAAAATGAGAAACCAAAAAATGGATATTTATCAGAATCGAACCGTCGTAGAAATAGGAGATTCTGTCCTTGCTGCGCATTTTCCGGTGGGGAAGCTGGACGTGTACAGTGATGAACAATTGAATGCAGCCTGCGTTAGGGATTAAGAAGAATTGCCGACGTCCATGGCCGGAAAATTGGGAAAAATAATAAAATGCCGCTGGCTGAAAACCAAAAAACCCTAGTCCGGCAACATAACAAACTTCTGCTAAAATAATTCTGCGAGTGTTCTGTTTTGCAGCTAGCCCTCTGTCCTCAAGTTAAACCTGTTTTGACTATTTGATGATATTTTTTTTTTGGAAGTAAAGATTTTTTTTTTTTCAAAATAAACATCCCATATTGGGATGGGGTTGAGGCTACACCCCCGACCTGTGAATATAATGGTCCGGCTATGGCTAATAAATCAATGGTCTACACCCAAGTCGGAAATACATAGAGCAACATCAAAAACAGAAAAATAAAAATAGAAAATAGAAAATAAAACCCAAGGATCACAATAACAATCCGATGTGGATCTAAAATCAAAATCTCATGAAAGGTCGTCTAGGACAGGGTGACCTGTCATGGAGACCACAATGTCAAAATTAGTCAGGGGCAGATGGTGGAAGTAAAGATAAGTGAATACCACAATTCGTAATTTTTTCACTTCTTCGTGTTGTGTTCTTTTTGAAACTTAATTTTTTTTTTTTTAAACAAGAAAAAATGAGACAATTTAAGACTCCAAATTACTTTGTATTTTGACATAATTATGTAAACTATAATATTTTTTGAAAAAAAATATTTTTAAGCACTTATAATAAAAAATATTAAATATCTTAATAAAATTATCTAATAAGATAATTATTTCATAATTTATATTTATCAAAAGCTTAATAAAATTTATTTTAAAAGTTAAAAAACAAATTAACTTAATTTTAATCTAAATATGAAAATAACATTAAAAAATAAATTATTTAGAAAAATAAATTAAAGTAATTTTACTAAAGATATTTATAATTATGTAAAAATATAAAGTTAGTTGGTGTCTTAAATTGAGAACTAGAATGTAAAAGTAAGTCTTTAATTAAGAATAACTTAAAATTGAAACCCTCAAATGCTAAAGTTGAAAATCCAAAGCCTTATTATGACACAATAACTAAAAGTCAAGCTCTACAAAATTTTCCCATTTGAATGGTGTGTTTGTATTCAATTGTGATTTCTAAAAATATTTAAGATTTTTAGAAGTCTTGAAATTTCAATAGTGTATTTAATTAGGATATTTAAAGAGTTTTTAAGACTTTAGAAATTCGGGTGTATTCAATTTAGATTTGATAAGACTTTTAAAAGTTTTGGGGTATTCATTTTGGATTTTAAAAGGTTTTACAAAATCTTGATGTATTTAACTTATTTTGAGACTAGGATTAGTTAAGATTTTTTTAAGATTTGCTGAAATTTCTAAACAAAAATTTTATAGGAAATTTCACTTTAAATTCCACCTCCAGATTTAAGATTTCACGGATTACTCAGAAATCTGGAAATCCTAACAAATCTCAATTCTTAAAATGTTTCAAAATGTCACTTGAAATTAAGAACGTCCCACTTTAGATTTGTTAAGACTTTTTAAAAGACTTTTTAAGACTTTAAAGAGTATTGGGGTGTTCAATTGAGATTTTAAAAAGTCTTACAAAATCATATTTAACTTATTTGAGAATATGATTTGTTAAGATTTTTTAAGATTTGGTGGGATTTCTAAGACCTCCAATGGAACTACAAAATGCAATTTTTGCAGTTCAATTTTCTCCAACGGTACCGCAAACGCAACTGGATTTTGCGTTTCCACCCTCTCTCTCATCTCTTCCGACACAATTTTGTGTCTGATCCCAAAATATGCGATTGTATTTTCTCAAATTGCATCCAAGCCCCTATTTTTTGTAACACTATCCCAATATACCGCACCTATTATATATATTGTATATAATAATTATGTTTTATCTTTTATAAGTTTAACTAGTAGAACGTCCGTGTATTACACGGGTGCTTGCTAATTTTTTTTTTCTTAAAATATAAAATTAATGAGAAAAAGTAGTTGAAAATTTAAATATCTTTTACAAAAATATATATTATTAGTATGACACTTTTTATTTGTGCAACTTACCTGTGTTATATTATAATAACTTTTTTAACTTACAACATATAACTACATTAAACATAAATATATAAATTGAAAAATAATTTTATTTTTCTAATGAATTTTAATAAATATTATTATTTTTTATTAGTATAATGATAAATATAATTTATTTATTTCATATATACAATATGAATGTCAAATTGAAGATCATCAAAAGACGATTAATTTGATATATTATATGTGTAAAATCGATAATAAATACAAAAATTATCAATTTTTAAAATACATTTATAATTCAATAGCTAATTGAAGGAAACAAATCAAAAGTCAAGGATATATTAAGCATTTAGTGTCTCACTATGTAAAATCACAAAGAAATAAAGGGTTATTTTAGTATAATTGATATTGAAATACCTAAGTTAGCTAAAATAATTTTTAGAATGTCCAAACCTAAATTATTAATTATTAATATATGAATATTATTTTTCCAAACCTAATTACGAAACATGATTCTTTCTCAAGTAGGATTCCGAAGCACCAGAACCAGCCACGTAGGCTCAGCGTATTCGGGAATAATATATAGGGAGGATTTTACACATTGTAGTAAATATATATGTATATATATATTATATTTAGTAAATATATTTAGTAATTATTGTTGAGTTAAATATTGTTTTATTTGTTTTTATTATATCTTATTAGTATTTTTCTTTTTAAGTTACAAACCATATTAATGTTAAAAAGACTACAAATTTAACAAATAAAAATGACATTAATATCACCAAATTAGTTATAATATTGAAAGATAACATACAACAACTAACAGAAACATACAAAAAAAA